TGTATAGGTGCCATTTATGTTGTTGAAAAAAAGTATTTGCAAAGAATAAGTTGTTGGTCTTGTGAGGCTGGCACAGGATGGGGCAGTTAGCCATACATTCCATTTTATCTTCCTATTTCTGATGCTTCTATCTGATCTTAGTTTAACAAGTTCCTAGTCATATTTCAAGACCTTCTGCAAATCCCACATCCTCAAAGAAAACTTTCTGCCCATCTCTGGTAGAAGTACTTTCTCCTTCCTCTGTTTTTTCCTCAATTTTACAAATAGAGAAGTTCTTTACTTTTCATTTCAATATTGGCCAAGTTCCACAATAAGTACTCAATAAGTATTGGAGGAATGAACAAATAAATACTTGGCTGAGATACTCAAATTAGTCCTTGTCTTCAATGGTGAACATTTGTCACCTAGAAATAATGAAGCGTCAGTAGAGTCAGGGAATGAAGACTCTTCCAGTGTTTGTCTATGTGCCTGGAGTCCCTTGCCATCACTTATTACCTGTCTGAGGAAATTTCTTCTGAACCTGAGTGTGTTTCCTCACTTGTTAATAGGGTTGACCACACCCATCCTGCAGGGTCATCATGAAGGCTAAGTGGTCTACTTTGTGCCATGTGCTGGCACCACATCTCCATATTTTAATGTCATAAGGAAGACTGAAGAAGAGTTGATTCTTTTGAGTTGTGGTTTGGTGAAGAATACTGAAACTACCATGGACTTTCAGAAGAATAAACAAATCTGTCTGGAGGAAGTACAGCCAGAATGCTCCTTGAAAGCAAGAATGCCAGACTTTATTTCATCAACTTTGATCATGTTGTCAGAAGGGACCATTCTCTGGAGATGAATATCATGCTTGGTAAAGTGGAGGGTCAGAAAAAGTGGAAGACCCTCAACAAGATGGATTGACACAGTGGCTGCAATGATGTGGTCAGGTATAGCAAGGATTATGAGGCTGGCACAGGACAGGGCAGTGTTTCATTCTGTTGTACATAAGGTTGCTATGAATTGGAGCTAGCTCAATGCACCTAACAACAACAACAACAGGGCTCAAGAGGGAATCCTTGGTTGTTGCAAAGAAACACAGAAAGTCATAGTCATGAATCATTTGAGAATTAGAGACACCTAAGATCAAGGAGGCAAAACAGCTCCATACACAGAAGATAGTAAAAGAAACCTGAAAACCAAAAAACTAAACTCACTGCCATCAAGTCAATTCAACTCATAGAGACCCCTCCTTGGGTTTCCAAGGCAGTATCTCTATGGAAGTAAGATTGCCCAGTCTTCCTTCCAAGGAGTGGCTGGTGGGTTTGAACCACCAGCCTTCTGGTTAGTTGTCAAATGCCTTAGGCACTGTGCCACCAGAGCTCCCAAAAGAAACATAAGGTCCCCAAAAAACATAAGGTCCCCAATAAAGCCATGTGAGTTCTTATTTATAATCAATATATGAAATATTTTTTAATAATTTTAACTTAACTGAAATTTTATTGTTGGGCTCATAAAGTAATTTAAAAGCATGTGTTTACCTGCAGAGGAAGCTCCTGGGTGGCAAAAGTGGTTAAGCACTGGATTACTAGCAAAAAGGTTGATGGTTCGAAACCACCCAGAGGCTGCTTGATAGACAAGCCTGGAGATGTGCTCCTGAAAGGTCACAGCCTTGAAAACCCTGTGGAGCACAGTCCTACTGTGCACACATGGGATTTCCATGAAATGGACTCAACTCCACAGAAACCAACCCTAGCCCAACCTGGGTAGGGGAGAGTGGGGCTTTGGAGTCACCCTCCCCACTTACCTGCCAGTGACCTCAGGCAAGTGGCCTACTACCTAGGAGTCTCAGCCCCCTACTGTGCACATCTCTCAGTCATCAGGAGCAAATGCACTGATGTTTGTGACAAGTGTCAGGCACTCCATGGTCTGTGGTTACCATCCAAGGTCAAATCTGTCCCCAGCCATAAATTGGAGCATGCTTCAAGAACATTCTAGTGGCACCATGGTTAAGGCATTGGGCTGCTAACCAAAATATTTGAACCCACCAACCACTCCACAGGAGGAAGATGAGGCAACCTACTTCTGTGAAGATTTACAGCCTTGGAAACCCAATGTAAGGCTGGTATGAGTCAGAATCAACTCAGTGGCAGTGGATTTCAAGAACATTCACCCAGGATGGACTGAAGCCAATGCAGAGATACCCATGCTCCTTGGAAAGAAGGAGAAAGCTGCATCATGGTGAGAAGAAGCACTTTCAACAAGACGGTGACACAAAGCTCTCTGACATCACCTTGGATAAATACAGCAGGACACGTGTTTCCTCCTAAAAGGTATTTTTTATTTGGTTTTCATCACCTTTCAATGAAAGAGTGGGTCCTGTCATCACTATGTAAGAATCTTGAAAATAGATCCTAAAAGCAGTACAATTGCTTTACAAACAGAAGTTAACTTATAACGAAGGTTCGTGGAGGGAGCAAGTATATTATGGATGGTTGATTAAAAGTAAACAGGTTCCTATCATGAAAGGGAAAGAGCATCTCTACTCCATGAAAGCAGGACTGAAAACACTATGCTGGTTGCTCTCATGCACGTTATTCATAAAAGAGAAACTGGCTGATCCTCTTCTTAGTGATCAAATAAACACACTTGTGTACCTGACCACTCTGGCAAGACACAGCACAGGGAAATGAGAAGCTAGGGTTCTAACTGTGGGGAAAGTGGCTTCTGGGGTGGAAGCACCAGCCCTGCCTCCCAGAAGACAGAGGCCATGACAGTCTGAGATGCTATAGTAACAGGGGAGCGTGTGGTAGCTGAGACATTAGCCCTGGAGTCTGGGCAAGTGACATAACAGCAATGTCCTTGGGTTCTCACATCTGGTGATCTGGCAGCACCGTGGTCACTGGGATTGGGTATTCCAAGGCATTGCAGTCATCTGACAGGAACACCAAATCCTGAAAAAGATGTGTGATGAGCAGGAGGGTTACTGAGGGTGGCTGTGGAGGACGTGTGCAGCTATAGGCCTCCTGGTTTTCCTTAAAGACCATCCCAGTGTTCCCCTCTCTGTGAAAATGTTCCATCCCTTACGCTTGAAGAAGAAGTAGTCCTTTCTTCATGTTCTCACTGTGTCTTGTGTACTCTTTAATTGTTTGTGGAAGGTGACCATACCTTGGTTGACCAGATGGATGGATGGAAGAAAGGGTGGGTGGATGCATGGATGAAGGATGGGTGAGTGGGTGGATGGATGGATGAATAGATGGAAGGGTGGGTGGATGGATGGATGGATAGGTGAGGGAGTGAATGGATGGATGGACTTTAATTACTGAGCCACATCTCCGGTCCAGGCTCTGAGGACAGTGTGCCCATCAGTACTAGATCTTCCCTTTGATGTCCAGTCAACACCACTACGTACCAAACTGTATTGTCATTATACTGTCCTCCTCCTTCCCCTAGAAGACCCCAACCAAACCTGGTGCCCTTATGTTGATATCAACACATGATGACCCCATGTATTAGAAAGGAAAACTGTGCCCCATAATGTTTTCCTGCTGTATTCTTTATGGAAGGAGTGCTTGGTTACTAACCAAAAAGTTGGTAGTTTGAACCTACCAGCCACTCCACAAGAGAAAGATGTGGCAGTCTGCTTCCTTAAAGATTTATAGCCTCAGAAACCCTGTGGGGCAGTTCTACTCTGTCTTACAGGGTTGCTATGAGTCAGAATCAACTTGACAGCAGTGGGTTCATCTTTATGGAAGCAGATTACCAGACCTTTCTCCCATGGCACCACTGAGTGGGTTGAAGTTGTCAGTCTTTAGTAGGTGAGTGCACACTGTTATGCCACCCAGGGACCTTCCACAAACCAAGGGTAGAG